CTAGTAGTAAGGCCAGGAGCCCCTAATGGCTTCTTGTTCCTAGTAGTAAGGCCAGGAGCCCCTAATAGCTTCTTGTTCCTAGTAGTAAGGCCAGGAGCCCCTAATAGCTTCTTGTTCCTAGTAGTAAGGCCAGGGGCCCCTAATAGCTTCTTGCTCCTAGTAGTAAGGCCAGGTGCCCCTAATAGCTTCTTGTCCCTAGTAGTAAGGCCAGGGGCCCCTAATAGCTTCTTGTTCCCAGTAGTAACGCCAGGAACCCCTAATAGCTTCTTGCTCGTAGTAGTAAGGCCAGGAGCCCCTAATAGCTTCTTGTTCCTAGTAGTAAGGCCAGGAGCCCCTAATAGCTTCTTGTTCCTAGTAGTGAGGCCAGGAGCCCCTAATAGCTTCTTGCTCCTAGCAATAAGGCCAGGAGCCCCTAATAGCTTCTTGTTCCTAGTAGTAAGGCCAGGGGCCCCTAATGGCTTCTTGTTCCTAGTAGTAAGGCCAGGGGCCCCTAATGGCTTCTTGTTCCTAGTAGTAAGGCCAGGGGCCCCTAATAGCTCCTTGCTCCTAGTAGTAAGGCCAGGAGCCCCTAATGGCTTCTTAATAGCTTCTTGTTCCTAGTAGTAAGGCCAGGAGCGCCTAATAGTTTCTTGCTCCTAGTATTAAGGCCAGGAGCCCCTAATGGCTTCTTGTTCCTAGTAGTAAGGCCAGGAGCCCCTAATAGCTTCTTGCTCCTAGTATATAAGGCAGGAGCCTCTAATAGCTTCTTGTTCCTAGTAGTAAGGCCAGGGGCCCCTAACGGCTTCTTCCTAGTAGTAAGGCCAGGAGCCCCTAGTAGCTTCTTGCTCCTAGTAGTAAGGCCAGGAGCCCCTAATGGCTTCTTGTTCCTAGTAGTAAGGCCAGGAGCCCCTAATAGCTCCTTGTTCCTAGTAGTAAGGCCAGGAGCCCCTAATAGCTTCTTGTTCCTAGTAGGAAGGCCAGGAGCCCCCTAATGGCTTCTTGTTCCTAGTAGTAAGGCCAAGAGCCCCCAATAGCTTCTTGTTCCTAGTGGGAAGGCCAGGAGCCCCTAATGGCTTCTTGTTCCTGGTAGTAAGGCCAGGAGCCCCTAATAGCGTTTTGCTCCTAATAGCTTCTTGTTCCCAGTGGTAAGGCCAGGAGCCCCTAATGGCTTCTTGTTCCTAGTAGTAAGGCCAGGAGCCCCTAATAGCTTCTTGTTCCTAGTAGTAAGGCCAGGAGCCCCTAGTAGCGTTCTTGTTCCTAGTAGAAATGCCTGACGCAGGTCCTAAGAATCCCACCATTCTTGTCCTGGTCCAAGAATTCAAAGATCTTGCCATGCTCCTGCTTCAAAAGGATTTCATGAGGGGGTGATCATTATGGGGGGAACGATGGTCATTGTAGAATTGTATTACTTCAACAATCCTGTATCACTTTTGTCGGCACAAACATGGTCTGTATGAAACGAATGGGGAAGATTGCTAAACAGTGGCATGGTCCCCAGCGGCATGATCTGTGGCTCATAGAGAGCGGCAGAGGTTGATGTTCTATCTCCCCCTTTGACACGTTTGCGAGAAAGAAATTCTTTGTCCTCACTCCCTGTGGATGTTGTCTGCCTCCTGCCGCCCTAGTTGACTCGCATTTGAGGCCCAGAAGTCCAAACAACTGGGACACATGGGGCAGAACATCGATAAACGCTTGAGGCTTGAAGAGTGAAAAACGTCGTCCAAAAACAAGAACACTGAGATTCGTTACATCATCAAAACATGTCCCAGGCATCTTTGGTGACTAGCCGTTGAGAGTGCCACTTTCCTCCCACATAGTTTTGGATCAAAGGACAATACACCTCTGATAAATATCAGCGAACAGAATACTTTGGTTGCGTTTCCAGCATATCTTGGGAGGACTTGATCTGACCACAAAATTGAAAATATCAAAAAAGAGAACCATAGACCATAGATGTTCTTCTTATGGCTCAGGATTTGACCGTATGCCACATCGTCACATGTTATGTCATGCGCTGACGTGTAAACCTTTTTTTCCAAGCGGCGAGCTGATTAGCCAGCGCTCGTTGCGAATTGACAAAGCATATGTCCAAAGCAATAACCAACTCAAGGCTCATTAGACTATTTCTCTCTTTATTCATCTTTCCAAATCACATCGCGCAGGCATTCCGCAGTGTGAGCGCTGTGGCTGCGCTGAGGTCGCTCTCAACATTTCGTCGCAGCACTTGAACCAATCTAGATGTGTAAAACACAGAGAGAGCCAAACGATTCGATTGGTCCAAAAACACTTGGAGGCCATCGCTAGTTAGGTTGGAAGCCATCGCTTCTAAGTAGGCACTACCAAGCTCACTTGTCATGTTTTTGTGCTTGCTTGGCTCTTCGCTGGACCGAGTTCTGCACGCGGCACGAGTTCTGTGAGCAGGAGCGGTAGTCGCCAGTCGACGGACAGTCGCCTCAACGGAGAGAGTTGACTTCAACGGAGAAAAGCTTTGGAGGTGTGCTTTCCATGCAGCTGAGGATAACACTTTGACACCACAAACTGCTCCTTCGTCACACCTCGGTCTCCACATCAGGCACTGGAGAGGACAAACACCAAACACTGCAACTGCCTTTGGAATCCAGCGTGCCTTTGCAATGAAGAGACAACGGGCCAGAATCATCAGAGTCACATCGACAAAACAGTTGACCGGGCCATCGCTAGTAGGTTGGAGGCGGCGATCGCTCTTTGGTCGGAGGCCATTGCTAATAGAGACAAAGAAAAAAAGAAAAGAAACGTCCAATATAGTTTGCTAGTAGGGCCAGCATCATTTCTTTTTGGGGTCTGGCCATTCGAAGCTGGTAGTCGCCATTCTGGGTGATATATCGCACCCATGGAAGGGCCTGCGCCACCAATCAACCACAACACAAAGAGCTGCACAAAAATTTCAGCAATGAGATGCCCACTATGTCCAGTATGATTCTTAGAATGCTGATGCTTGCAAAGCGCTTTGGCAGTGGCAGCATTCTTTGTAGTAGGCGGCGGTGTTCTCACCAGTAGAAATGCTCTTGGAATGGATAATGCAGCAGCATGAGAATAAAGGGAATGAAAAGAAACATCTGATGAGGGCGAAAATCAGTAGAGAGACCTGTGATGTTGCTTTCTTTACAAGGCAGGTGATTTACAGTATGGGGATTCTGGTTGAAGGACACAATGCGGGAGGCAAAATATATACTTGTTTACATAACAAGTGCCCAATGCCCAATATTGAGTGAAATGAAGCATGATGGCTACTAAACTTATCTTTGACCTCTCAAAAATATGCAATTCTTCTTTCCGGAGAGTGAACGTCTTAGGTCCTTGTGATACTTTGCTCCTTGCTTGGTCCCTGTCGATATATTCTTTAACCTTGGGAGCCTGGATCAGTTTTTTTTTCAGCGCTCTCTGTCTCCAACCAGTGCGGCCAACTGTTAGCCCTCTAAATGTTTAACGCGACTTTCTTCACAAGTCTTTCACCATCGTTTTTCCATGATTCTTGCTTTGTCCTGAGCTCTCGCAATGCCCGTGCCTGGTAGCCAGACTTCTCAACAATCTTGAGATACCTGATGACATGCTGTGAGTCTGGGGTTGCGTGGTTGCACAAGTCCTGAACATCTTGAGATAACTTCTCTTGCTGATCCCTTTGCGAAACCCAGGCCTTACAGTCACGCCTGACACCGTGAAGTATGGGATCTCAAACTTCACGGACATGGGAGCCTCGCAGACTTCACGGTGAGATGGACCGCTGCAAACGGGTCTCCGTGTAAATTCTGTTTGGATTGGCATGTTCCGTTCGTAGCATCCTTGCTCGGGCAGGAGCCCCTAGTAGCGTCCTTATATATTGTATACCTTACCTACTAGCAAACTATATTGGACCTTTCTTCCTGTTCTTTGCTCTTAGCAATGGCCTAAAACCCAAGAGCGATGGCCTTTTAACCTAAGAGCGATGGCAAGCACTTTGCAGTATTTGACGTTTTCTCTGTACTGCTGCTCCTTCATGTAGGCATCTCTGTTCTCTGCACCAACAGAGGGTAGTCCGAAGTTCGCTGTCATGATGAAGTCTTTTTGACCTAGGAGAATTGAAAGCAGAACAGAAGACCGAATCTGAAAAAGATGTGCCAAAACGAAAGCCTTAGACTGCTTAATGCTTGAGTCTGTGGCCCTGGAACTGCTTAATGCTCCAGACTATGCAATCCTGCAAGGTCAGAAAACATCGAGTTTCATCCGTTGTTTTGGCATCCGTTTCATTCATAGATGCCTGATCAGGAATGTATCTCACAGTGCCGATGGACGTCTTGAAGGAAGGCGAATCCACATCAGAGGGCACGGGAATGTGAATCTCCACATTGTTTGCCACACTTCGCCTCAGCGAGTCCATCGAAGCCATCGCTAGTCAAAACATGAAGCCACGAGCGTGATGCTTTGCAGGCTCTACCCTGAGCGTCCCACGACTTGAACTGTGACTTTGCTTTGATCATATACCTTGGTATTCAGTACAGTTGCAGCACCGCACTCTCCAAGAAACATGTTTGGCGAGTAGCTCAATTCGCGACCTAGAGTGTCCTGGATCCACAACAGCCTACGATCAAGCAAACGTGGATCGAAATCAAATCAACACCAAATTCATAAAAAATACAGTTCCTATGCTCACTGAGGCGGTGAATCATACGTTAGAGGCATCTTTAGGGTAGGTTCCTGAGCCATGCTTTGATTGGAGACCAATAGCATGGTCAGTCTTGCAACGATGGCCTGCAACCTACTAGCAATGGCCTGCAACCTACCAGTGAAAACTGAGCGTTCGCAGTGCAGAGGCGGTGTGGATAGCTTTCCGGCCTCGACCCAAATCAAAGGTTTCACGTGGGTGTTCAGCCGGTAACTCATGAGCTCAAACTCTCCATCCGGCCTCGGGAGAGACAAACAGTAACAAAGAGAGCTGCTCGATTCTTATTTCTTTCAATTTTTTGGGAAACTGGCTCTTAGAAACAGAAGTCTCCCCGACACTCACTGAGTGCTTTGTTGGGAATGCCATGCTGGGGAAGATTGAAAATAAATATGATGCTGGTTTATGTCGCTGCAGATTGAAGCTATGAATGATTCAAGAGACTGTCGGTGGCCATCCTATGGGATTGAATGGCATTGAAAGCGCATATGATGACAGCAGTTTATGAGGCCGTAGGTTGTCAACCTACGAATTGCCAGAAGCTTTGATGAGGGGATGATAATGAGTTAAAAGAATGGATGCTGAGCTATGAGCTTTAAGGGCATTGAGGCTGTGTCAGATCCTGATTAATGAGCCTGTAGGCTGCCAACCTACAAGCTTTGAAAGCAATGAGAATGCATAAGATGCTGGTTTATGGGGCTGTAGGTTGCCAACCTACAGTGTACCTACAGATTGTCGCAAGCTTTGATGAGGTGGATGATAATGAGTTAAAAGAATGGATGCTGAGCTATGAGCTTCAAGGGCGTTGAGACTGCGTCAGATCCTGATTAATGAGCCTGTAGGCTGCCAACCTACGATATTTGAAAGCAGTGAGAATGCAAATGATGCTGGTTGATGAGGCTGTAGGTTGCCAACCTACAAATGTCACCAAGCATTGATGTGGTAGATTAGAGTGATTCAAGAGACTGTCGGTTGCCAACCTACGAGCTTTGAAAGCATTGAGAATGCATATGATCCCGGTTTATGAGGCTGTAGGTTGCCAACTTGCAAATTGTCGGAAGGTTTGATGAGGTGGATGCTGCCAGAGACTTAAAAAAGTACTTTACTTGAAGCTATGAGCTCGGTCTTTGACACAAAGCGCTTCTGCCTTCCTAAGGGTGCCTAAGGCCTTTTGATCTTAGATGTCACTGCCGCACTATGCCAGTAGCTCTTAGCACAAAAACACTGCTAGTATAGAACTAAGCACTACTAAGCCGCTACCTCTATATAGAGAGAAGTTTTAAAGTGGCCTCTTTAAAGGGGGCCTTGCCTTCCTTGATCCTTTATCATCCTGTTCTACATAAAAGCGCTAAAGAAGCATCCAACAAGAAGCCTCAAATACTGATGACTTGAAGGTCTTGGGTCTTTTTGGGTCTTGAGCCCAACAAAAGCGCGGTAAAGATATGATATGTTATAAAATGTTTCTTGTATGTTCTGCTCTTTTTTGCTCTTTCTTCTTTTGGTGCATTCTTTCTTTCGTCCTCTGTCTTGTCCCTTTTTTGAGACCTGAATCTTATTTTGGACGATGTTTCTTCAATGTACCTTTTTTCTGACTATTCTATAGCCTTTGCTCACTGGTGGTGCAGCTTTCATACACTTTCCAAGCCTTCCAGCAGTTCCTAATGCAACTGCCACTGCCACAACTATCAAACACACAAGTAGACTCTAAGTAGACTGTTGACTCGCATAAAGCAATCATGAAGCCAAGTCCAGTGTCTGGATAGTCAAAGCTATGAAAGCAAACGATCTGAGACAGTCAGCCCGTTTTGCTTGACAGTGTAGGCCCTGGACGGAATGAAAGAAATAGTCCGATCATTCTCAAACCGTGCGAGCTGCACACATTGGTGGAACTTGATGTCCTGAGGATCGGGACAAAGTGGGAAAAAGCAAACTGAATCCGAAAAACACAAAATGAAGCAAGGAGCAAGGAGGGAAAAATGTTTGACAGTCCAAAGACAGAAACAAATAAGAAAAAAGATCAAGATCCAGAAAACAGATGCATGTCTGTGTGGTCCAACTGGCACCAGCCTCCATTTCTACGGATTTGCCCTTCGCGACAGGCCTTCCTGTTGCCTGAATCTACTTTGACTCCGCCAATGACTAGGAACTTTTGGAACTTCCTTGTTTAGATTTTAGGATTTCATTAGGTTGTAGCTTTCGCTGCGTCGTTCTATCTGCACCTCGAAGAGAAGCTTGTCATTTAGACCCAGCTTCAGCTCAGGCATACCGGAGAGATAGGACCTTGAGATGGCACGTCGAACCAACAAATCATCAACAAAGGTGGAGTGAATGTCCCTTCAAACAACGCTGCTCTACTAGTAGCAAGAAGCTACTAGGATGGAGGCCATCACTAGTAGGTTGGAGGCCATCACTAGTAGGTTGGAGGCCATCGCTATCAGGTTGGAGGCCATCGCTATCAGGTTGGAGGCCATCGCAATTAGGTTGGAGGCCATGCCTACGAGCGCCTAGTAGCGTCTTGCTCCTAATAATAAGGCTAGGAGCCCCTAGTAGCTTCTTGCTCCTGGACTCCTAGTTCATTCTCTCAGCGTCTTTCGAGGATTCTCAAGATTATCCACCGGAACCACATGCATCGTCGAGGAACCGCTGAGCTCCACACTTCATTTTCAGAGCCCCCAAGATCTCCGAACGTAGCACCGACCCGTTTGCTGAAACTAAAAGGTTCAATCTTTCCACCTGAGGGCAAAACTTGAGGAAAAAGTGAAAAGAAACATCTCCAGTTTTTTCTGGTGATGTCATCATACATACATGGTCAAACCAGTCAATTTCATGAGAATTGATGCTTCTACTCTGCGTTCAAAGAAGCTGTTAATTTTTCAAACATTCTATGTTCAACTTCCGTGTGGTTAGAACCAGCCACGACATCCAAGAAGATCTCATTCTTCTTGTGTTTGATGCCGTCAGACCGCCAAGACCTTAGCTGGTTATGTATCACCCTTTTCCTGCTTGGTGGTGGCAACTGGGATCTGGTGGTAGTCTCTGTGCATTGGTGAAGTCCGGGGCACAAACTGCGGACCATACAAGTAAAAACAGTCACCCTCGTGGCTGTGCAAAACGGGTGGATTAAGTGGCACCACCTGAAAACTGCACATTGCTAGCATGATTGATTGCTTGTTGTTGCACAACGTCAATGATACCCGAAAACTGGCAAAGAACCCTTGACATGCTCAGGAGCACAGATCAAGGACTAAATGGGAAAGTGATCTTTCGCTGCAGCAAGTAAACAGCATCTTGGCCATATTTTCTCGCATCAATTAACTCAAGAAAACAGAATAGATACACGGACAAAAATGAGTTCCCTGCACAGCATTGGTGACTGCAGTGGGCGGTCTCATTTGCTCAACCGAGAGCCTGGCACAGTGAGAAGAATGGTGCAGTGCTTTGCGTTTCTCAGTGCTTCTCCATGAAAACAAGAATGAAAATGAACAAGTTTCGCCAAGGAAAAAGGGATCAGGACGTTCACGTCGGTTCATCAACTGTATGTCCGGTCCCAGACTGGGACCACGCGCTGATGTGACTGAGTTTTGATGTACTCCCTAAGGATCTTCACCTGCACCGATCGCACAAGTTCACAGAGCTCACACATGATCGCATAAGGAAGCCTGCATATATATATATATATACACACACACAGTACTTTTGCTCAAATGAAAGAGACAACAGCCGTTTAAAACGAACGGTTTCACCCCTACTTCACCTCATCTTTGTGGCCTTTTCTCGTTGATCCTGCTTCTAAGCCGTTCTCTATCTCCTCTTCTCTGCAAGAACTAGCTGTTTTGGTTTCGTCTGAACGTCTGAAGAAATGAGGACAAGGACTTGGTGACATGGTACCAGCGGTGGCCCATCACAGGCGTTGACCGATTCGAGGGCGAAACTCGACCCCCTTCGGGCTTGCTGGCCGAACCCAAAGCACAAATAGCACTCACACAGCTCTCAGCAGACCAGTCACACCCAACGTTACTATAACCAAAGGCTTTGGGGTACAACAACAACAACAATTTCCTGGCTCTGCAGCAGCTTCCATGTTTACTCCACATTAAATCTTCTAATGAAAAAAGTCATCAGGCCGCAAAACAGCGCTGGATGCCTCAGTGGTTTGGGGATAGCCATTGTCCATCATCTCATCTAAGAGCTCGTAGGTGATCACAAAGTTATCCTGCAAGCCACGAAGAGCACAAACGCACCCCTCTCAAACACAAAAAATATATTCTCTACAAAACCAATGTGTTTATCACCTGCACAGCGGGATGGAGCCTGCCTCCCCACGTCAACCCAGCTGGTTTGCTCTGTACAGGTGATTTGTTTGGCAATTGGCATCAAAGCATCCTTGCTCTAATTTATGCAGCTCCACAAACCCACAACAATACTGCGCTCATGTTCTCCTTTATGCTCTCCTCTTCAAGCTCGTTGAAATAATCTCTAAGCACCTCACATGCTCAAATGAGATGACCGGTGATCTCTCCATAAATGAATTATATAGAAGCAAAAAGGAAGTTAAGATCTCTCTTTATTTTCTTATCGTTATACTTAGGCTTCGCGAGGTTCTGCTAGGCAGGCCTCCGCCAAACGGTAGAGGAAGGCCACAATCAGGGTCGCATTCGAGTTTCGCTGAGTCACAGCCTTTCGCGAACCCAAACGAAGAATGAGACGAGGGATGAAGTACTGACGGAAAGAAAGTGGATTGTCTTGAAGGATTGTGGGATGTGTTATTTTTGGGGGGTAGGCCGCTAAAAGGTAGTAGAAGCATAGCTCACGATTTTTAGGGAAACGTAAGCTGATATCCAATTCATTTCATTCATTGTGTTCACTCATTCACTGCGTTCTGAGGCCACGGCTAGCAAGTACAAGTTGTTGTATCTTAGCACAAATGCTCATGGCATAGGAACTGCACTAAAAGCTGTTTTTAGTTTCTTTGCCAAAATGCTGGATCCAGGCGAAACTGATGCCATCCTGCAGCAAAGTGGCTTCTGGGGAGAATGAGCAATGAGAGCAACTATTGAAAAACATGTGCATTAAGCCAGCAAAACAAAACAGCAAAGTCCTCGCAAAAAACTGGTTTGATTGTAGCATCTTCAGCATCGATGACATGTTGCTGAAACCTCCACATCACAACCCCGAAGGGTCGGGAAGGGTCAGGCGTTTTGCTGCAAAACGCAACTGCAGCATTTCTACTAGCGATGGCCTCCTACCTGATAGTGATGGCCTCTAACCTGCTAGCGATGGCCTCCACCCTAGTAGCGATGGCCTCGTGATGGCCTCCAACCTACATGCGATGGCCTCTAACCTAATTGCGATGGCCTCCAACCTACTAGCTGTCGTTTAAACCCAAGAATCAAAGCAAAAGCCAACAGTATGCCGGTGCCTCTCAGTGATGTTCATAGGGACCTCCCCCCTGTAGTTTCGGCCTTGGCTGGCATCTCTGACGAAAGTCTGTCGGTCCAGTGCTGCGCCCGCGGGGTTTTCTTGGAACACAAACTCTGTTGTCTTCCCGACACCTCAACAAAACCTGCAAACAACCAATAGCTGGATGGCATGTTGGCATGAAGGCTGCGTGTGCAAATTCTAAAGCTCAATGAAATTTGAAAGACAGGACAGACGTTGGGCTGAAGAGGAACCAAAACTTAACAACACAACACTCTTTGCAGCATTGCCCGTTTTGTCCTCCAGACTCCGAAAGAGTCGCTGAAGCTGAGAAGACATCGAACCCTCTGGATCGACTATGCCTACGTCGCCAAGAAGCAAAACCCATAAAACCAAAAAGTGCCCAAGGTACAATAGTCATCTACGTCTGCTTTGAACCCAACCCTCTGCTAAAGCCAAATAGAACTCGCCTAGCTGGTCCCTAGCTCTTGCTTCCTGTGGGCACACCAAAGCCAACTGGGATTCCTCTCGTTAGAAAAACCCATCGTCCTCACCAATGGGACGACCAACACCCTCAAGTGTCACCATTTCTTGGAGGCGGACTGATTATGACCTTGCCCTTCATGTCCATTATGAAGACCTTAGCAACTTCCTCTGATTCAAACCGATTGAAGATCGAGGAACTCTCATTTCTTGTGTCTTCTACATTAGCCTACATGAGTCATTGCGCAACATCGTCTTGCGGTTGGATTTCGACACCTGAAAGCCTTGTAAGAATTGTAAATTCAATAAGGTGCGGATATCTGACAGTGCTGTGCCTGCTAAGCAAACACAGCTTCAATAGATCGCACACATGATGTACAACATGTCAAGAGGCACAAGTGTCATTCCTTCTCAATTCCGACTCCTCCCACTCCTGCTGCTTCCTCATGTTCCTTTTCCTACTCTGATTCCTCCTATGACTATTAATACTGCTACTGCTACTCCTACTCCTACTACTACTACTACTACTACTACTACTACGTCTAAAGCTGCAACTAATACGGCCGCTACTGCCAACACTATTAATGATACAATACTAATTACTGTTACTACGATTGCTAACCTGCTAACTGCTACTTTTGCCACTGCTCCGACAACCACAACCACAACCACAACCACAACCACAACCACAACCACTGCGACTGCTGCTGCTGCTGCTGCTGCTGCTGCTGGTATTTACCATCTCTTGCTACAGGAGCGCTTGTAGAACAACAGCGGCTTTTGCAACCCTGCTTTGACGTCCAACATGAAATCACCTTTTTCGTTCCTCATTCAGAGGGCACAAGTTCCTCGTAAGGTCAAAGAAGGAAAAGGCCAAAATGGGTTTCTGACTGCGGATGCCCCCGCCATGGGCGAAGTGAAGCTGGTGAACACCTGCCATGGGCCAAGTGATTCTGTCACTTTCTTTTTTGCATGTCAACATGCAAGTCACATGGAAACGAAGTTCAGAGCATCACCCGTCCAGTCCAGTGCTGCCAAAGCGCCGCAGTGTCCAGTCCAGTGCACTACGCCTCCCCTTCCCCGCTTGAGGCGAAAGGCGGCATAAACACATTATGACATATATAATAGCAATGGCCTCCAACCGACTAGCGTCCTTGCTCCTAGTAGCGATGCCAGGAGCCCCGATCGTAGCTTCTTGCTCCTAGTAGTAAGGCCAGGAGCCCCTAATGGCTTGCTCCTAATAGCAATGGCCTCCAACCTACTGATGGTGTCCAACCCACATTATGACATAATGCCAAGCTAACTATGACATGACTAAGTATGCTCATCTGGACATACTTGTCATATCATGACAACTACCGAGAGACTGCTAGTAGCTCCTGGCCCTACTACTGAGTAGCAAGAAGCTACTAGGAACAAAGGGCATCGCTACTAGGAGCAAGGACGCTACTAGTAGCTCCTGGCCTTACTACTAGTAGCAAGAAGCTATTAGTAGCTCCTATGCTGTGAGGTTTGGCCCACTGTGTCCTCCTTTGGGAGTCCGGCGAAGTGTCGAACCAAGAAGCGCTGGAATTCCTGCAGGGCCCCTACTGGCACGGCCTCCTTACTTAAGTAGGCGCCTACTTAGGGCCTACTTAATTCAGTCAGGCAGAAGTAAGCTACTGGCAAGCTTGGAAGTTCCTAGTACGATAGCTCAGACGCTTCCTCCAAGAAGCGCTCACACTAACGATTTGGTTCCACTGAGTTCCTAAGGTGTGGCACCACCAAGCGGAAGGGACCAAACCCAAATGCGCTTGCAACTCTGCAACAATGCGGAAAGGACGGACCTGAAATCTCACCTGGCATCTCCTAAGCTACGATCGGGGCTCCTGGCATCGCTACTAGGAACAAGGACGCTACTAGGGGCGCTCCTGGCCTTACTCCTAGGAACAAGAAGCTACTAGGAACAAAGGGCATCGCTACTAGGGGCTCCTGGCCTGACTACTAGGAGCAAGGACGCTACTAGGGGAACCTGGCTGAAGGATGCCGAAAGCGGGGGCACGTCCCGGTGAACATGCGCTATTCCAATTGTCCTTCTTGCTGAGTTCCTTTGTGACACCGTGTGGGCCGTGCTCAGACGCATACCTTGCTGTCAACTCGACTGACGCTGTCACTCGATTTCAGTGGAACTGAACTCCTCATGTCTTTCGGATCTCAGCATCATGCGTCTCAAACGCAGACTTCATGGTGGAGAACTTGTCCAGGATTTTTTGGCGAAATTGCACCAACCTCTCCACCAAGCGCCAAGGACTGAAATCACTTCGGAAGCGTCCATGTCCAGCTGGACTAGTAACAAGAAGCTACTAGTAACTAGTAACAAGATGCATTGCTACTAGTAGCTTCTTGTTACTGGTAGTATTGCCAGGAGCTACTAGTAGCGTCCTTGTTACTAGTAGAGATGCACCTTGTTACTAGCTCTTCAATGCCCAAAGGGGCTCAACTGCTGAGACTTTGACCGCCGGCTTCCTGCTGGAAGAGCTTTCCCGCTAGCCTTTTCTGCTACCGACGGGAATGTCACGACAACCAATCCAGGTGACTCAGTCTTTGCATCACATTTGCGGTCCTCAAGGTACAGGCCCTCCCCCTTTTTTCCTTTGATTATTTGTCTTTCTTGCTTCAGCCCTTTACCCTCACCCTTACTTAATTAAGTAGGCGCCTACTCAATTAAGTAAGGCAATAAGGGCTAGACAAACTACTAGGTATCGTGCTACTCCTGTACACGGTGCTTGTACACAGCATTCTACTCCTCTTTGGTCTTACGTCTGGGTTGCAGGTTTCGGGCTCACTTCTGCTCCACCACTCCCCATTGTACCCTTACCCTACAAACTTGTTGGACCCCTACAGTCAGCGGGAGTGTTCGCACAACCAACCAACCAACCAACCAACCAACCAGCCAGCCAGCCAGGCAAGCAAGCAAGCAGCAGTCTGCAACTGCCACCACTATCATCACCACAATCGTCATCTCTATCATTGTGATTGTTCAAGAAGTCTTGACTACCCTTCGCCTTCATCGCTTGTCACCACCAGATTCCAGTATTGATCAAATTTTGGTTGAAAGTTGATTTCTAGAGTTGCAGAGCTGTAAGCCAGGCTGTTGTCAATTTTAGCAAGCGGCAACTCTCTGATCCCAAAAGAAAGCGGTACTTTCCAAAGCGATGTCCTCTTTTCAACTAAGATCCCGGCAAAGTTTGGAGGATCCTGAAGGCCGAGCATCTGAATATATCCTTGATCTTAACACCAAATACAAAGCTCCCCACAGTCGCATGGCTGGTGGTCCTAGGCAAAGGCATCAAACCTCCTCAACACGGGTTCTCTAGAATTCTCCACAATGTTCTGCTCTGGGTCGCCGAGCTCAGGCAGGTTGGACGCTGTCTGCTTTCGCAACTTGTGCAACCTGCCGCTTCCAACAGTCTTGCAGCAAAAAGAAAGTCACAAAGGTCTAAAGCTCCAAAGACTGAGAAAAGCTCCTAGCCATCTTTGCGTCCTCTTCCTTGTCTCCACAAGGAGGACTCCGAGGAAAAATCCTGATTGACGCAAACTTGTTGCTTCAATCCAAAACTAACAACCTATTATTCCACTGGATGATTGTTCGAATGGATGCGGTGAACCCACATTGCAAAGTTTGTATCAGCAAGCACATCGCTCGAACTGCACATCGGAAACTGAGTGCAAATCTCATCCAGCAAACTTGCAGTCATCTCCTCATCCATTGCACAAGATAAGTCTAAAGCTATCAAGAGTAAAGGACACGTGTGTTCCTCTTCTTTCTTTCCGTATTTCGTTCTTTCCTTGTTCTGTTCATTCCTTTTTCTTTAGCTGTCCTTCCCTTCTTCAAGCTTTTTGTTTCTCTGGGCCGTTGAACCTTTCTTTCGTCTGTCTTTTTTGTTTGCACGTGCCTTTCTTTGGTTTTCACATCTTCAGGCCAGACCTTCGCTATTAGGAGCAAAGGGCCACGCTACTAGGGGCTCCTGGCATCGCTACTAGGAGCAAGGACGCTAGTAGGTTGGAGACCATCGCTATTGGCTTTATTGTTTATTTGCTTGTCGTTTTTCTCTTTCTTTGTTGTTGCACGATGTGTCCTTTTGTGTCTTTTTCTTCAGACCGAATTTAGGCCAGCGTTTCGCTGTGTTTCGTCTTTGGCCTTTAGACTCCAAACTGAATGCACTTTCTTCCTTCGGTCCAGATCTCCTTGCATTTTCTCCTAGATCTCTAGACATGTCTTTCTTACTTTCTTTTTCTGTCCTTTTGACCTTTGTTCCCAATTTCTTTTGTTCGTTCTTTGTTTTCTTCTTTCTTTGGGACATCGGGCCTTTCTTTCTTCATGTCTTCTTTTTCCTGTCTTCTTTCCTGCTTTCTTTTTTGTCTTTCTTTCGTGCGTTCCTTCCTTCTGTCCTTCCTTCTTTCCTTCCTTTTGACCTTTGGAGCTTTTAGACCTGTCTCTGTATTGTCGATTCCCTTTTCTGTAGACCTTCAGTCCCTTCTCATTCTCTTTTGGG